CAAACCATCAGCTCCTTGACAAAGAGTTCATTTGCTATTCTTTCCCCATCTCTCCCAAGGCACCACAGAGCTCAACCAACAGTGACAGACCACACTGCAGCTTGTGGATGACTTGCTGGCAGGCAGACACCACCTCCCTCTCCCCAAAGTCCCTCAATACAAAGGACAAAGCAACGCCTGTACAAGTGTCACCGATCCATGCTGCTTGACCGATCGACATCATCCCAGGCAGAGAAATACCACAGTTTCTACTGGAAGGGAGCAGGAGCAGCTCCCAGCAGCAGAATGCCCTGCTTTGTCCTGAAACAGAGAACAACCCTCTCACCCTTTGCCATGTTCCCACCCGCCTTCCCAGCTCCCAACCTTCAGCCCTTTCAACACCCACAGTTTTTCCACTCTGCTGCGAAGTGATGAGAAATTCCCTGCCAGAGGACATTGTTCAAATGGGTTATTGAAAAGAAATGCAATTCCTTACTCCGGGTGAACAAGCTCCTTTTCCCCTTGAGGAATAAGGATAATAGCACAGCCAGGGAGAAAAAAACCTACCCCTAAAGCCTGCTGTAATAATATTAAATAAGAAACCAAAGGGGTTTGGCCAGGAAAATCCCAAGTTCAAAAGAATAATTGCTCCAAGAGATTTAAGCCTACAGCTGAGTCACTAAAATGAAGAAATCTCTCCTTGTCCATAGAAAGCAAACAAATCTTGGGTCATGCAGCAAAGCTTCTGTATGTCCTTGTTAGAAAGAAAGAAGCAGCCAAATGCAATTAATCATAGTCCCAGAAGAAAGGATGAAATCTCTGTAATTAGCTACCTAGGCTCATCTTTCAACTTTTGAAGACTAATCCAGCCTTTTTTTTTTTTTTTTTTTTTTTTGCTGCCACAAAAGTCTACTACAAATACCAAACCACTTCTCTCCAGGGGTACATGGTCACCTACAGCCTGTGGTCCTCTAACAGCTTTGCAGTAAGTATACAAGGAGGAGAGGACATTTGCAGAGAGCAAGTGATGCTCCTTTTCTTAGTCACCTTTTGTGGATGAGCTGTCATGAAGTTTGCAGACTCTCAGAGAACCTGGAGACCTCAGCTGAACTTATTATTTTCAAGCTAGATATTTTTGCATCCACATCCTGATCCAACTGATAAATTACCAGAAAATGCTGATTAAAAAGATAAAAGCATACAAACATGAAAATACTTACCAAATAGTTAAGATTAAAACTGCTTGTGTTAATAAATTGGCTTATACCTCACCCTCAGGTGGTGTAAAATTGCCTGACCATCACCCTGCCCATAGAAAGAATGTTCTTCATAGTGGTATGCAGTTTGGGCTATATATTAAGAGCAAGGTCTCCAGCAATTAAATTCAGTAAGGCAAATCCAGCTGGCAAGCAGCCCCTTTAATTGGAAAAGGCAAAGCCACACTCGACAAATAAAACATGTCCAGTCTGACTAAAAGTCAAAATTCCTTTGCTCAGCTTCATTCAAAGTTGTGGAAAACATGGGGGCAAAGTGTAGGGCTTTAGAGAGTGGAAAAGGAAGGTCTGGAACTGGTGGCTACAGTTTAGGAGCGGAGGTCAGGATCTGACATCCAAAAAATCCTGTGCAAATCAGAAAAAGCCATTCAATTTCCTGGGGCTCCCATCATAAATAAGGGTTGACAAATATTATTCCAACATTGAAAACAACAACAGACCAGCTCTTTAGGTCAAGTACATCAATGGTAAATACAATACAGTGGAATAATACCAAAATGACATCAGCTGAGGAACTGAGGCTGAATTCTACCCCCTCTTGTATACAAACCACTGCTAACATATGAATAATGCTGTCAACAACAGACGGGGAATGCTGGCCAGCTCTGTGGTGAGGGAAAGCAAAGAATGCAGAATGGACAGAAATCTCCAGCTTTGCTCTTCCATGATATGGCAGAAATGCTTCTTTTCAAAGAAAGGAGATTGGGTCATTCTTCTATGAAAAAAACGGAAGTAATTATGCAGCTCTGAGTACAGCTGGAGCCTCCCTGTGCAAGTGTGGGAAACAGGGAGGGCTGATTAACAGCCAGTCTGTGGGATATGGCAGCAGGGCCAAGGAGCCTCAAGTACGTCCATAGCGTGACACCCACTCCCTTCCCTCCAGGTCAGAGGCACAGACACAGTCAGAGGTGCTGGGAGTGCTCTGGGGGCTGTTTCATGGCACAGAGCTGTCTTCATCTGCTTGCAGGGCTGTATTTCTGCTCACCGCCAGTATCAGCCAAAACACTGAAAATCAGGAGGTTGGTCTCTCTAATCTTTCACAGAAATCTGGCAGAGGAGCTAAACACCGTGTCAGAACAAAGGTGGCATTTGGCTGCAGTGAAGGTTGCTACCAAACACCCAGAGTGACCTTCTCAGCCTGGAGCTGCTGCTTATAAAATCTCTGCATGTCAGGTCGGTCAGAAGGCTCCTGCCAGCACCCTGGAGTTTGTTAATGGGATTTCCTACCATCCTTCCAGAGGTAAGCACAGATCCTCATGAAGAAACCCAGATGCTCCAGGCAGAGAGGCTGCTTTCCCCAGCCCTGCTGCAGGGCCGAAGAGCCCCGAGCCCACGGCAGGGCGATGCTCCAGCACAAACTAGACTAGATATTTAAACTAGATTCTAGGAAGCATTTCTGTGCAGAAGGGGCTGTTGGGCGTTGGAATGGGCTGCCCAGGACATGGGGGGAGTCCCCATCCCTGGAGGGGTTGAAGAGTCGGGTTGACCCAGCGCTGAGGGATCTGGGGGAGTTGGGAACGGTCAGTGTGAGGTTAATGGTTGGACTGGACGATCTTGAAGGTCTCTGCCAACCGAGACAAGTCTGTGATTCTGTGAACTGCGAGGCAGAGCTGCCCTCCGCCGGCTGCGAGGGAAACCACCCCCTGCGACGGGAAAGGCAAAAGCCATGTAGGTGTTCATGTGCAGGTCCCTTACTGTCCCATAACCGTGGGCAACATTCCGTTTTCTCAGTGTTATGTTGCAGGCATAAAATACAAGGGCCAGAAGCTTTCAAAATAAGCAGCAACCTGGAGAGTCTGGAAGAGTCCTGTTGTCCGACAACGCCAAGCCCCGACATCCACAAGCCAGACAGCAATCAAGTGTCTCTTACTGCAACAGGGAGTTCTCTCTCACTGCTGATTTTTCTATAAACCAGCAACCGATGAACATGCTGGTAAGTGACACCCCATAAATTTTTGCTGAATAACAATGCTACTTGAATGTTGATATTTAAATATGGGCATATAAGCAGAGATTAAGCTGAGAACAGAGGTAACTTCTACTTTCAGACAGTTAACATACAGAAGGGACTGCATTTGATTAAAAATAATACTTACTAAAATCCCACTCAACCATCCACATCTATAAATACTTTAAAATCCTGAATTAGTTAATATTTTGTACATCTCAAATAACAACTACATCCCCAGTAACAACTACAAAATGAATCCTCTGAACCAGCCTTGCGTCAATCAGCCAACAAAGAACAGGCACCAACCACAAAAGAATTAAAAAAAAAAACCTCTTCAGGTTTTAAGCGAGAGGAAGAAAACTCCTGAGGCTGTCTGCAGCAGTTAATTTGGCCCAACGCTGCAAAGGTACAGCAGCAAACAGAGCTTTCAGGGGCTACTCTCTAAGGCAGCAAGGTTAAAGTCTTCTACTCCATTAACCTTTGCAAAGATTTGAGACACGAAGTACCGTGGCTGCAGCACCTGAACACTTATCGACACAGAACAGGGTTCAGAGCATGATGCATGACGCCCCACATTAGCCCAGGGTGCCCTATGCAAAATGCCCAGGGGATGTATTGCCACACACAGCCTGTGGTGCTTATTGCACTAGGACAAGGATCATGAAAAAAATCAATGATGTTTGACTTAGATGCCTGAAGTTCATGAAAACTGATTTTTGATGAGATAGCATTGCTGTCCAGGTGAGGGGAGGTGGGACACACACTGGTACGGTGGTGCTGGGTGGCTGTGATGGTGAGCTGCAGCTGCCAGCAGCACTGGCGGGCAAACCGACAGGGATACCGAGCAGACACTAACACTTGCCAGTCACAGTGAGCCCTTCCAGGACAAACCCGATTTCTGAAAAACCACAGCTTCCCCTAAGGACTTTTAACCTCTGTTCTACACTGTAGAGCAGCTCTAATGCTCACAGTGGTAAGAAAAAAGTTATTTCCATGCTAACCTGAATCTGCAGAAGCAAGTGTCCATAAAAAAAAAAAAAAGAGCAAAATAAATTCTCAAAAGTTCACAAAGGATTTTTTTTCACCCACTGGAAAAATGCTGGGGAATCTCCCAGGAAGATTACAACCACTAGCGCTTCCCTGCCGGCAAAGTTCTCTGACACACCACACCTTTTGAGCTTCCTTTATGTTCCTAATAATGAACAGACTGGTAAATTCAGTACAATCAGGCATTTCTTCCCTACTGCAGCACATAAGATTGCAGCTATGATGTGCCACACAGTGGAAAGCAAACAGGGAAGGGGCAGGTACGTGCTTCACCGTGCTGTGACAGGGCTAGACCTCCTCACTCTTCTTCCCCACTGTCCCAAGCTTGCTTTCCCCTTCCCCAAGGTCTTGCCACCAATTTCCCCACGAGTTTCACACTGCTCCCAACTTTGATTTCTCAGTTGTACAACACTCTTTCTTAAAAGCAGGCTACGCACTGTGTGCTGCTTTTCAGCACGCTCAGCTCCAAAGAGAAGACAACCAGGAGACAGACAGACTCCATTTCTCACTTCAACATCTTTTAGAATCAGTTTAAGTGGATGGAAGATGAGATTTTCAACAAGGTCTCCTTAAAAACTGTGGGAGTAGTTCTTTGTGGCAGTATGCAAAGCAAAATTTTGAGTTCTGGTACGATCCTCTACTGCCACCAGCAGTAAGATATCATTAAAAGCTGAAGGGAAAGCAAAATACCTCTTAGCAGCTCCCTCAGTGGCTGAACGAGGCCAACACGGAACAAGTGGGCCACTCACCTGAATTTGGTGGAGAGGACACCCCCCAGGGCAGAGCCGATGATGATTCCTATTCCAAAGCAAAGACCCAGCTTCCCCAAAGCATCAGCGCGTTGGGAAGGATTAGTCAGGTCTGTAATAACCTTCTGAGCACCTGCAGGGAAATAAATCCCTTGAAAGAAGCTTGCCACAGGGTCTGAGCAGCAGGTATACACAGTTTTAGGCCACAAAAACAGTGTCTGCCACAAAATGGTCTTTACAACCCCAGGGCAAATGCTTGTGCACAGTGCTGAGTGGAGTCGGATCAGCCTGTCAGTCACAGGAAACAAAAACACTCAAACCACTTCACAAGTGGCAAGAAGAGGTTTAACAGTCTATCAACTTGAGTCCTCTTGAAGGACTTACACAGACTTCCAGTAGCTAAAAGTTGTTTATGGGTTTTACTAGAAACATGTAGGAAAGGCCAAACTAAAGCAGAACAGCTTGGTGGGTAACAGAAGGTGGTTTTGTAATCACATTTCATTTTGACCAGCATGGTCATATTACCAGGAGAATGGGAAAAGCTCTCCTATAAAATATCCTGGTTGCAAGAAGGCAGCTCACAAGTTTGGGACAGCACTGCTGTCAGAAAGTGATTGTCACCCCTGTCTGGATGATGAAATTCAAGCAACTTGCTCAAGATCATACAGGAAGACAGACCTAGGGCAATGGACTACTAGCCCTACTTTTCATAACCAATACACCCGCTGCTTCACGTTCACACCATTTCATCCCTGATGACCATCAAATGTTTCTCCTTTCTTGCTTCATGCTGTTGAGCCTGTTGACTTCCAGCAATGTGAGCAAGAAGAGAGGTATCAGGCAATAAAAGCAATGTAGAAAGCCACTCGGCCCTGACCAACCTTACCTGGTAGCCCGTGCATGAACACTGCTGGCAGCCTGGAGAGGAAGAGGAGAGGGATGCTGGTGGAGATGGACATGAGCAGGAAGAAGGCACTTCCAGATGCACAGGAGAGAATTAAGGCAGCTCTGGTGCCAAACTGATCTGCAAACCTGGTACAGAAATGGTACAGGGTTTTCAGAAGTGGGACAATGCAGGTCGTTACAAGTGAAACGCACCCAGAGGGATGAAGTTGCATGGCCATCTCATTTATCCACCACGGGAAGCGCTGAGCACGTTCTCAGAAGCGCTCAGTTCCCAAAAGAGGAGCTCACCTCACTGGGTCTGAATACTGGACAACCTCTCTTCATTGCTGACTACCAGCAATAGAAAACTTTGCCTTGCAAAAAAACCCACACCAAAACTTAAAGCAAACTCAAAACCAAAACAAAGTCTCCCCAAAAGTGAAAGCCTTGCCTGAAGGAGGAGTGCAAGGACCAGTGCTGAAGCACCAGCTGCCCACCTGGGAACCCGGGCACAGTTTAACAACAGACACTGGTTTAACAAGGGAATGTGCCAGCAACTGCCACAGTCCATTTTCAGAGCCCTCATAAGCACAAGATAATGAGTATGTCCTTAAGTGTCCTCCCCTGGCATTTCAGTGAATAAATAATGTTTATCTCAGAGCTGCTAATGACCAGCCACAGGCAGAGGCAGTTACAGCAGCTCAGCTCAGTAACTCATTCACAGTATCATCACTTCAGAGCACGTAGCACCCTCAAATTTTACTTTGTGACCCGGAATTGGCTCAGACCAGAGAATCAGGCTAGCTAATTTTTTAATTCAGGTTCAAAGGCAATTGAAGTTATTCCAATTTCTTTCCAGAGGATATTCAAAGCAATATTTTTCATTTTGCATCACTTAAAGAAAATAAATAGGTAGTTTTCTATTTAGATTCAGTAAAGACATCACAATAGGGACTCAAATTTGTTTCAAACAGGCAGATCAGGTTTTGGGTCAGGTTTTGATTCAGCTCCAAGGTACTTTAAAAAGCTAAGTTGGACAAAGTCTGAGAGTACCACAGAAAGGGTTCCTAGCAATTATGACCATAAACCAGGCCTTAGATAGTGCTTTTCACTTCAATTCCTCCTTCCTTCCTTCTATTGAAGCTGCATATTACAGTTAGGAGATGAATGTTACCTTGTGTAGCCCTTAGCTGTGCTTACACTAAAAGAAACAACCCCCCAGAAAATCCCAAGACTGGTCTACAAACAAAGCTAAACATAAGTAATTAAAGGGCTTCATGTTGAGGAAGAGGTACAGGTCAAACTTCACTGTATACGTGAAAGCCAGGGAAGCTTATATTAGCTTTTTGTAACCTAAAGACCACGATTCACTACACAGTCTGGGGCTTTTCTGGTTTTGTTACTCAAGAGTAAAACCGGTGCTTCATCTTCTCATGGCTGTTTAGAAGCATCAAACAAGAACAAAACCCACTAACCTAAGCTACACATTTTTCTCTCTTATTACACCCCC